AGTCCTACTGTCACGCGTCTCCTTGCTACTGTTGTCACTGACCCTTCCTTTGAGTCCACTGCTGCGTCTGCCCTAGTTGCTGAGCTCGTCGACTTTGCTGCTCGCTGTCGCCTAGACTACGTCGCCAGTCTTGTTGCTGAGTCTGAGTCTGTCTGTCCTCCGTCCGTCGGGGGTGAGTGTGCCCTTGGCACGGACGTCCTTGAGGACAGGCAGGAGGAGTTCCAGTGCTTGGCCGCTGCTTCACCTCATCTCGTGTCCGTACTGCTTACCCCTGAGGGAGACCCGGATGCACTTGACATCCCGACTCCGCGCTCTTACGCGGAGGCGATAGAGGGTCCCTACTCCTCTCAGTGGCAGGCAGCTATGGACGCAGAGATGGCTTCCTGGAAGTCCACAGGCACCTACGTTGACGCTGTTCCCCCTCCTGGGGCGAACATCGTCAGTGGCATGTGGATTTTCAGGGTGAAGCGGCCGCCGGGTTCTCCGCCTGTCTTCAAGGCGCGTTACGTGGCTCGAGGCTTCAGTCAGCGGCAGGGAGTTGACTACTTTCAGACCTTCTCTCCCACCCCGAAGATGACCACTCTTCGGGTACTGCTGCACGTAGCTGCTCACCGTGACTACGAGCTACACTCTCTTGACTTCAGCACTGCTTTCTTGCAGGGCAGCCTGCACGAGGAGATCTGGCTGCGTCGCCCACCTGGTTTCACTGGGTCTTTTCCTCCTGGCACCCAGTGGAGCCTACGGCGGCCAGTCTACGGTCTCCGCCAGGCACCGCGTGAGTGGCACGACACACTGAGGACTACACTTGCGGCTCTTGGGTTTGCTCCCTCTACTGCCGACCCGTCGCTGTTTCTGCGCACCGACACTTCTTTGCCGCCGTTCTACATCCTCGTGTACGTCGACGACTTGGTCTTTGCCACAACTGACACTGCTGGACTCGCCCACGTGAAGTCCGAGCTGCAGAAGAGACACACGTGCACTGACCTGGGTGAACTGCGCAGCTACCTTGGCTTGCAGATCACTCGGGATAGAGCACGCCGCACCATTACCCTGACTCAGTCACACATGGTGCAGCAGGTCCTTCAGCGCTTCGGCTTCAGGTACTCCTCGCCTCAGGCCACTCCTCTGCCTACTCGCCACTCGCTCTCAGCTCTGCCTTCGGATGAGTCCGTAGAGTCGAGTGGCCCGTACCCAGAGCTTGTTGGCTGCCTCATGTACCTGATGACCTGCACACGACCTGACCTTGCATACCCTCTTAGCATTCTCGCACGCTATGTTGCTCCTGGGAGACACAGACCGGAGCACATGGCTGCAGCGAAGAGGGTGTTGCGCTACTTGTGCAGTACGTCGGGCATGGGGCTTGTGCTTGGAGGGCAGAGTCCAGTGGTCCTTACTGGGCACGCAGACGCTTCTTGGGCTGACGACCAGGCTACGCAGCGGTCGTCACAGGGTTACACCTTCAGCCTTGGTTCCGGCTCTGTTTCGTGGCGGGCTACTCGCTCGTCTTCTGTTCTCGGCTCCAGTTGTGAGGCTGAGATCTACGCAGGAGCCATGGCTGCACAGGAGCTTCGCTGGCTCACCTACCTGCTGACTGACCTCGGAGAGCCGCCTCGTTCTCCTCCAGTGCTGTACGTAGACAACAAGGCCATGCTGGCCTTGTGTCGGGAGCAGCGACTGGAGCACAGAACGAAGCATATTGCTCTCCGCTACTTTCTTGCTCGTGAGCTGCAGCAGCGTGGTCAGCTGCGTCTTGCATACGTGGCCTCTGAGGCCAACACTGCTGATATCTTCACCAAGGCGCTTGCGCCTTGTGACCATCAGCGCTTCTGTACTCAGCTGGGCCTTGTGCCTACTTTGCCTCACTTGCTCACCTCTTGACCGTGCTTGTACTGTTACATATATATATATACCTGCTCTTGCTTGTCTAGCCTTTTTATATATATGTACTCCTGCATGTGAACTGGCCTTGTGGCCTTGAACTTGTGCTCGGAATGTGTGGTGACTTTGTGATCCACCCTGAGCTTGCTTTGCTTTGCTTTACTTGACTGGTCTTGTGACCCCTTGTTCTCCCCCACTTTGCCTATGGGGGTGTGTCAGAACATTATAGCTCATGCATATTGTGTAGGCTATAGTGGGGTAGCCCATAAGGGGTACAACCCAATTAGGGTCATTACTTGTACCCAATTCATTCATAGTTCATCCAATCCTTGTTTCTTCTCATAACGCTGATTTTCAGTGTCGTCTGGTGAAAAATACTGTTTTTACAGGGTTGTTAGAAATAAAGCGCTGACCAATCAGGGTTTCTAAGACCTCAACACTGATCAGCACGGTTGCTTGTACTGGTATGTTGTCATAACAAAGCGAATCAGACTGCACATACTACAATGCCCAAATTCGGTCAGTACAACAGCAAATACAGTACGAGCTGCAGGGTGGCATAGGTCCTAACTGGAGAACCTAGGTCCTAACCAGAACCAGTTCAGCTGAATTTGGTCGAGCCGCAGGTTGGCGTCGGTGCATGGTGGGTACCTGAATGATGACGGTGCGACAGAATGCAAGAATCACAGAGTTTTCGGTTTCAGGGTAGACCCCGATAAAACACTAACTCATCAATGTCCTCAAACACAAAACACTGAAAATCAGAGTTCGAAATTAAAAAACACTGAAACATCAGCAGGCCCCTAGATATCAGACTTTTTAGTCTGATTCAGACTTCGTTCAGGGTTTTTTATTGTACCTAGTCTGAACTTCAAGTTTTTTTTTATGTACCTAGTCTGAATTTTCAGAGTTTTTTTTTATGACTTGGCTGAAATTTCAGACTAATTTTATGAGTGTAGGCTGAGCCTCAGACTTGTGTCGGGGATGCACTCTGAAACCGGCAATACTGGGGTTTCCGCCAGCCTGGCGGCGTGTAGCACTAACACCGTCAACCATGGGCGGGATATCAAAATTTCCCGAGCGCGGCACCGCACAGTCACGTTGGTACAGGAATGCTGTAATTAGCTTCATTTCCAACAAATCGCGGCTGTGTGGCAGGCAGTGTTGGCAAGATTCGTTGCCAACGCATAGCTCGCAGCGCGCTGCACCTCGGACGACACCACAACCATCCACCCCACCCCACCTTCCTCCTTGCCAATGCATAGCTCGCAGCGCGCTGCTCCTCGCACGACACCACAACCATCCACCACACCAACCCCACCTTCCCTGCTTACACGACCAGGTGCCGTGCATGCAGTGACAGCCAGGGAGATGAGAGGTCCTAATACGAGTACCTCTCAGCTTCCTCATCGTCCCCGTTCTTGCCAGTCACTCAGTGGCCTGTCTCTCTTGCTCCCATTCAATCCCTCGCCTGAAAATAGAGCCTGAACCCTTGTTTCAGGCTCCTTTTCCCGACCTCGCAAAACATCTGCTCGGCTGACTCAATGGCAGCCACCGACGCTGCCGCCGAAGGGCCCGACGATGACGAAGATGTCGATCACCGCGATGACCGATGACCGGCCTTGACTTTCTTAGGTCGGTCTAAGAGAAGCCTAGAATGCCACCTGCACCACTGTCGCAACCCAGCTCAAGTCACGCTCCGGTTTCCACGCACTCTGAACCTCTGCCCGAGGCCGCCACTGAACCAGTGACCGCTGCACCACAGACGGTGGCCCTTGAGGCGTCCGTTGAAACACCTTCCCGTCCCGCTCCCCCGACGAAGCTGCGGTACCGAAAGTCAACCATTGCGTGGACAACTCCACCTCCTCCATCGACAATTGAAGCTCCAGCGACCGACAAAACTCCCATGCAGGACAGATCTAAGCCTAATCCCGACAGCTTTGAGTTGAAATACGAAGAAGCGCACGATCGTTTTAAGACTAAGTGGTCTACATATTACTCGTGGCTGATTCTTACAAAAACCTCTTATGGTGCCCCTTCTTTTAAGTGCAGTATATGCTTGGAGTGTACTGGCTTGACAGGCAAGTGTGGACGGCGTGGCGAGGGCGCTACCGACGTGCAGACGCAGTCCTTCAAGAAGCATGAAGGGACGGTGAAGCATCGCCTGGCTCTGCAGAGGCAGGAGGACCTTTTGCAGAAATTTGAGGGCCAGCAGCGCATCGACCTACACTCGAAAGCGCATGACAAGGAGCTGTTGCAGGTGTCTGCTCTCGCGGAATCGCTGTACTTCATGAGCAAGTGCAACGAGCCTATGGATTCGAGGATTCGTTTTGTGCGCTACCTGGCGAAGAAGAAGGTGCCCGGGTTTCCGGAGCATGGGTACGGGACGTACTACAATACGTAAGTGTTTCCCGTTACTACGTTGTTTAACATTGTTGTAACATTCGCCGTCCCGGAACCGCTAACAATTGTCCCTATTTTGTTTAACAGGCACGGCTTTGGTGAACTCACACAAGAAATCGCGACGTGGCTTCAAACAACACAGCTGGAGCATCTTCTAACGAGTCCCTTCATCGGGATCATGCTGGACGAGAGCACCGATTGGCGACGTGGCAAACACATGATTGTGTTTGCAACCTTCTTGCGGGAAGGTGTTGTCGTCACAGAATTCATCGCTTTGCTCACTGTTGAGAAAGGCTGACGCTGCATCCCTAACCAGCCTGTTGCTTTCCCACCGCAGGGCAATCAGCGTGGACCTCCGCCGTATCTCGGGCATAAGCACAGACGGTGCGATGGTCATGGTGGGGTGTCAGAGTGGTGTGGTTGCCCAAATCCGTATGCTCATCCCAAATCTCGTCTCATTCCACTGCATCGCACACCGGTATGTGTTGTATGCTTTTGTAATCTGCATGTTTAACGTAGGTGTGGTTTATACTAACTATGTATACTCATGTTGTTTGAGTTGTATGAACTGCATAGAAGCATTGGCAGCGAAAGCTGCTGCATAGGAGATCCCGACATTCAACATGGTCGACGACGTCATCCGCACGGTCACAGAATACCTCGGGCGTTCGAGGCCTTGGCATCAACGCTTCATGGATCTCCAGAAGGTCTTCACATCAATGAACCTCGAGGTGCAAGGCATACACGAGGTCCGATGGCTGTCGAGAGGTGCTGCAGTGTCGCGGTTCGTCCAAGTTCTGCCCGCCATCGTCGTGATGCTTTCCGAGTGGAAGGACCAGACGATGTACGAGCTGGTGACCTCGTATCGCTTCCAGTTCCTTCTGAGGTTTCTTGCGGACGTGCTAGATCTGCTGGACGTGCTCTCCAAGGTTTTCCAGCATCGAGAGGTACGTGACGGTGCATTCATTGAAAGTTTCTTGAATTTTAATGCACTGGTATTAACTACCAATGTGATTTGTGTGTGGCAGCTCGACTACCCCCTCGTGCACACTCAGATCGTCCGCACAACCTCTCTCCTGGAGAGCCAGTACGTCGACTGTGGCGACGATTTCGACGGCGGCCCCAACGAGCGTCTTCACAGGTTCATCGCCAAGCATGGACCAAAAGGGTTGCCGCAAATGGTGGTGGAAGGCACCTCGTCGGACGGCAGCATGAACCGCTTCAGTTTCACCCTCCACGAGCGCATGAACAAGGCTTACCTTGGACCTGATCATCACGACGCTTGTGTCGCGCTCTGCACCGACATGGCCGAGCTGCTCGTCAAAAACCTCCAGTCAAAGCTCGGTGACCTCGACTCGCTGGCTGGAGTGCGGCTCTTCATCCCGGACACGTGGCCACCGAACTGGGATCGGCAGGCAAGGCAGGCGCAGTGCCTGGAGTGGCTGTTGTCGCTAGCCACGCTGTTTCACGCCGACGACTCGCCCGAGATTCTGCCAGGTTAGTTTTTGTATGGTGATTGTTAGAATGTCTGACATTTGTAATCTCGTATAGCACTAATCCCCTTCCCGTTTTAATTTACGTCGCAGGCATTGACAAAAAACGGGCTGTGAAGGAGCTGAGGACTTTGTGCCCGGTGTTGGCCAGAGCCCCTAAGATCGAGCGAAAGTTCCACGCGAGATTGTCACCTATACTTAAGACTCCTGATTGGCAGCACTCATACCCTAACCTTGTCAACCTCTGGGTGGCGGTTGCAGTGTTGCCTCTCAGCACGGTTGAGTGTGAGAGAGGATTCTCTTGACAGAACCTCATCAAAACGTGGCAGAGGGTCAGTATTAAGGACACGAGGCTCAGTGATATGTTGTGCATGTCATTACTAGACTATGAGCTAGACTTGTCAGGAGTAGTTGAGATATGGCGCAGCTACAAGAAGCACCGGCCGGTCACAGCACCTGCTGCAAGACACAGGGAGCCTCCAAGGGTTGGGAAGGAGCCGTTAGAGGAGCCAGTAGTTGCGCATGCTCCTGTAGAACCTCATCAGCAGTCAGACTCTGATTCAGACATGTGAATTGTTTAATAATAACTATGCTTTTACGAAACTGCATGATCATCTTAAACTTTGAAGCTAACTTTGGTATTTCAGACAAAAAAAGTTGTGTTTGTCTGAATTTTCAGCCTAAAATTTTGAGGCACCTCTGACAGACAGAGTTCCAGGAGGGGTGCACGCTGAGCCATCAGAGTGCCTCCAAACGAATCTAGGTGTCTGAACATCAGGTTCGAAAAAAGAAAGGCTGATGCATCAGGGTCATGATAAAAAAACGAGGGTCAAACTTCAGGATTTCATGGTAAAATTCCTGACTTTTGAGGCCCTGCTCTCCACGTTATAAGAAAGGTGTTTTTGTTGTTTTAAGGTTCATTTTTTTTCAAGTCTGGGGTGTGGTGAGTTTGCTGGTGTGGGTGAGATGAAAGCATCTATTATATTTGTGTAAATATTTTTCCCACTACCGGCATTGCCTAGATAGAAAATAGTGTCGAATTGAAGTCAATGGTGTTTTAAGGTAGATTCTCATACATGGGTGTTCTTGTTATAAGGGAATGGGAGTGTACAAGTTAAGGCATATGCCGTATTGCTCCGTATATAAGACACGTCGGTAAGACGGTCTGTTGGGCCTCTTATGCAGCAGAGGGACTCTTATTTTCGCAGGTTTTGAGAGGACCCCCCATTTGCTAGTAAACATTCTAAGACCCCCCATAGCTGTATACAACTACTAAATTTTGCTTGCACGTGAGCTTTAACAGTGTGTTCCTATGGCCCCTTATCATGCCACCTCCTATCAGCCTTGCCTGGTGCAATGTGCGGAAGGTTTAGGGTTTGCGCGAATTTCAGTAAGCTTTTTTGCGAGTATGATAAGAGGTGGCATGATAAGGGGCCGTAGGTAAACACCCTAATAGGTGATTTGTGAATTTCTGACGTGACTTTTGTGCCAGTCTCGAAATCTGACATGCGCATCGCGTCAGCCCTTCAATCTGACGCGCGACTCTCTCAATTGTTACACAAAGCAGTGGTTTTCATTGTTCAGAATATAAGACCTCTTCACATAAATCAAAGGGTACTCGGGTCTTTAAAGTTGCTATCGTTTAGATGTTCCTCTAAAACAAATAGATGTAGTTGTGAATTAAGTTTACTCGGGTTGTTAAAAGTTGCTATCGTTTAGATGTCCACCTAAGCATTTATATTTTTGTATTTGTAGATCCTATATACGGGGGAATACGGTATGCCTTATAAACTGTCAGTAGGTTCATGTGTTTCCTTCAACAGAAGAGGGGTCTTCTAAACAGTTTCAATAGTTTAAGAGGGTACAATATCATGTACCGTCATCGCCCGAATATAAGACATGTATGTCTTATCTTACACAATAGAAAATGTTAAGGTTGTCTTGTATTTGGGGAGGTTTTGGGTGTCTTACAAGTCTAATAAACAGACAATTTTTTAATGTATTATGTAACATTTTCGAAGTCTGTAGAAACCACCCACGTGACAGATTCATTGAGTTCAACCGACCTTGGGAGTGATGGATGTGTCGCCATCACGAGTCACGTGAGGGACGCAATAAAATTGCCTGTGCTGGCTACATTCCTCCCTGCTTACAGCATCTTACCCACCGAATTCGCGTTTCGTTAGGGTAAAAATGTACGCTTTATTTCAAGTTTCATGGTTATAAGAGACATATGTTTTAATTCATACACACACAAAATATATATTTTAATCAAAACACCAAAAAATATTAAAAGAAACACCCCAATAAAAAACACCCCCGATCTTCAATTCACCACCGTCTTATATCCGGACATTTACGATAGTGGTACCTCCCAACCCTACCTCGTATACCTCGGTCATGCCCTCGTCTTCATCTGCTCTAGTAGTCGAAGGCTCATTCACTCCCAAATTTGGAATGTTCTAGGCATGCTTGGCCGTCTTGACGGCTCCAGCCAGCTCGTATACCTCGGTCATGCCCTCGTCTTCTTCATCTGCTCTAGCAGTCAAGGGCTCATACACTCCCAAATTTGGAATGTCCCAGCCAGCGTTCAGCCTCGGCTGCAACTCCACGGTAACATGATATCTATAGGTAGAGCACATCCAGCTCAGTTGCCATGCCGATTTTGTTGACACCGTCGGCCTGCAGCTCCTCCTCCTCCACCTTGCGGTCCTCCCCCAAGCCTGCCCAAGCAGGCGCATGCTATCGTCCATGCTCCCTTGCAAATATATGTCCTCAGACACATCAGTGGTGCTCCTCGCGCGCATGTGAGACATGGCCATCTGGTTCTTGGTCCAGTCGAGGCTGCTTGAGATCCTGCAGGTCTTGAATGCCTTGACAATAACTTCACGTGGCACTTACTCCCATGCCTCAACTGCAGCACCACATGATGCGAAGGCCACTTCAATTTGTGTGTTGGGGGATGGGCAGATTCCATCGCAAAGTAAGTACAGGTGTGGAAGCGTGGAAGAACACAAGGCTCGCATAATCAACTCACCTCTTGGTGTCCACAAGTTGATGCCGTGTTGCATGAATGCAGTAGCGGGCGCGCACCGCTGCTGTGAAGCAGCGGTTGATCGAGACATCCAGGGGTTGAATCTGGCTGGTGCAACGGCGATGATGGAAAGGGTGATGTAGAGCATTCGGTACGTTTGAAGGATCCCTTGAGTCATGTGCCCGTAGTACGAGTCCAACACCAACATCGAACGACATGCGGTTTGCTTCTTAGGGTTGAGGTACGGCACCACCTCCTTGGCCAGCCATCTTCACTGCCGTTTCATCCGTCCACCTGTTGTCGTGGCCATGGACAACAACACCTGCAGTTTCAGGTAAAGGAAAAGCCGATGAGAACAGGGTAGCAATCAAGCGATCAACGATGAGAACATGCGACTTACATTCGGGATTGTCACCTTCGGAGCATTTTTCATCTTGAACCACACCCATTGCGCAACTTCTCTCTTGAAGTTATGTACGCGAGCACGACAGTCAGCCGCTACTTCTCATAGCTAGCTGTGCGGATGGGTATACACCACACGCCAAGGTGGTCTATGGTCCTCTTGACTGACATCTGCATGAACAGCGGAGTTTGATCGGCGTTGATGATGCGCGAGAGGTCGATAATGTAGCGTGCCCGGATGATGCGTACAGATTTCCAGAAGCTTTCACAGCCTCAAGCACACTCTGCCAAGGAGACACACAAGGGAGTAAACATAGAACGAACACATAGTGAAACACAGAATGGCGTAAACACCGATGGTGGGAAGGTATGGAGCATGCAGAGGAGCATGGGAGCAGCGAAGCATGGGAGCATAGTAGTAGGGAATAAGAGGAGCAGAGCAGCAGGGGAGCAGCGAAGCATGGGAGCATGGGAGCAGGGGAGATTGGGAGCATCGGAGCATAGTAGCAAGGGAGCAGAGAAGCATAGCAGTAGGGGAGCATGGGAGTTTGGTGCAGCGGAGGTAGGGAGCATGGAAGCAGCAGAGCATGGGAGCAGAGGAGCATAGTAGTAGGGGAGCAGAGGAGCATGGGAGCATGGGAGCAGGGGAGCATAGGAGCAGAGGAGCACAGTAGTAGGGAAGCAGAGGAGCATAGCAGCAGGGGAGCAGCGAAGCATGGGAGCATGGGAGCAGCAGAACATGGAAGCAGGGGAGCATAGCAGCAGGGGAGCATAGCAGCAGGGAGCATAGCAGCAGGGGAGCATGAGAGCAACGTAGCATGGGAGCAGGGGAGATTGCAAGCATCGGAGCATAGTAGCAAAGGAGCAGAGGAGCACAGCAGCTGGGTAGAAGCGGTTTTCTGGGGAAAGGGGAGCATAACAGCAGGGGAGCAGTGGGGCATGGGAACAAGAGAGGAGAAAAACAGGGGAGCAGCGGGGCATGGGAGAAGATGAGCATAGCATCAGGGGCTAAGCGGAATGTGGGCACAGGGGAGCATTACAGCAAGGGAGCAGCGGGGCATGGGAAAAGAGCATAACAGCAGGGGAGCGGCGGAGCCTGGATGCTGTGGTGCGTCGGAATATGGGAACAGATGAGCATAGCAGCCGGGGTACAGCAGAACATGTGAGCAACCCCCCTTTCCTTCAGTCAAATTACCTCAGCCATAGTGGCACGAACAGCACACGGAGATTGGAGTCGTGGCAGGGAGATCGAAGGACAGGTAAAGAACTCTGGTGTGTACTAAGTAGATCCGTCCGGGGGTGGTGGGGGGGAGGGAGTTTAGGAGGGGCGACTACTGTGGGGGAAGGGATGGGGGAATTGGAGGGGGTGGTTGGGGGAGGAGGAGGAGAAGGAGGAGACGATTGGGGGAGGAGAGGCGAAGGTGGGTAGAGGGGCGTTGGAGGAAGGGGGGGAGGAGAAAGAGGACGAGGAGAAGGAAGAGGGGGAGGAGGAGGAGGAGGAGGAGGAGGAGGAGGAGGAGGAGGAGGAGGAGGAGGAGGAGGAAGAGGAGGAGGAGGAGGCGGAGGAGGAGGAGGAGGAGGAGGAGGTGGTGGTGGTGGTGGTGGTGGAGGGGTGAGTTGGCAAGATGCGGCTCTTCAATCGAAGTGTGCGATTGGAAGGAGGGAGGGACAGAGGGGGTTTGGGAGTGTTGGGGGACGAGCATAACAGCTAACCACTCTCACGGTGTCACTAATGCTCAATCACAAAAAAAATGTAACACACACCCTCTCGAAGTGAGTCACAGATTCATGCGCTCGTAATCGCACAATGCAGTTACGTACTGGGGCAATCCGATAAGCAGTAATTGTGTTTTAGTGCAACACCTCCGAATCCCTACAGTGTAAATGGCAAATCATCGTCCGCGTTTCCTCCTTAGGCAACGGAAATCGATGACAAACTGCAGGCGACCACTGTGGTGGAGGGAAATATGGGGAGAAGGGTGGGCAAGAGCAAGTTGAGACGGGGGAAGCAGAGTGAGCGTCCCGCTTAGGGTGAGACTGTGCCGGGTGTGCGCATCGGGGAGCAAGGGGTAGGAGGCATATGTTCATGAGCCAAGAGCCAAAAGTCTCCCGATTTCAGGTGACATTCGCATAATATTATGCAGGTGGTATGAGCTTCAGCTTGCGCGGTACGTGCAGCAAGCACCTCTTCATGCTAATTTGCGGCAGGCGGGGTTTCCTTGCCGCACCCATCACATTACATTCTGATCGCATTTCCCATAACCGTGTTTGCAGAGGCACATGTCAGCTATGATTTCGACGTGCCTCGGATCCCTACTTTTCACACCCTGTAAGCACGATTCTAGTAGCATGTTCACGCGGGTGTCTGTTGATGGCTGATTCCGTAGTAGATTATCTCAGGGTTAGAGGCTGTATGCTACGACACTACTTACCTTTGTCACACGAGCCTATTCGGCATCATATATGTGGCAAGGTCACCGTGGTCGTTGTGCAAAAATTGGCCTGTAGAGGCAGCGTCTGTACTGCCTGACCTACGTTAGATTAGGTCGTTGTGGTGGTTGCATGTGTTGCCACCGAGATTCATATGTCAACGGGAGTTGTTGTTGGCCCCGTCCTTGCTTGGGCAGAGCCGAATTCGTAGTCGGGTGTGCGGGGAGCGCAGCCGATCAGCTGCAGTGGACGACGCCGATCTGGGCGTGCAGGTCGACGAGCTGGTCAACCTGCTCGAGGTCATTGCCACACCGCCGACGATGGGGAGCCGACGGTCGAACAGACCTGGTGGTCGACGAGGGGTGGGCGCCGACTTTGGGAGGCACCGACGTCGACGTGGACGGGGGAGCTGGGGGCGCCGAGCTGGAGGGCGCTGAGTTTGGGAGGTCGACCGGGTTAGGTCGACCTGCAAGCGCCGTCCTCGTGGCGTCGAGCTGGTGGTTGTCGACCTGGATGGTTGCCGAGCACGAAGCTGTTGGTCGCCGGGGCTACCCGGTCGACCAGGTTACCCGGGCGACGGGCTTGTGCGGAGGCACGCGACGGTCGCTCAGGTATTTGTGGCGAGGCCAACCTCAGTGTGGTATCCTGAGGTCGACGTAGAGGATCAGGTGCAGAAGTGGGCACGTGGTCGACTTGGCGTCTGCGCTGTACGCGTGACAGGGCACGGGGACGCCAATCAACTACGAGCACCTGCGAAGCGGATGCGCTGCTGTCCTGCGGGTGCAACGATGTGCAGCCGACTTATTGCAGTGTTGGCACGCCGTCGACCAGCAGCGTTGGCAGACCGCGACATTGCACTGCTGGAACACGCTCGACCGTGCTGTGCTAGCAGTCGACCAGCTTGCATGCTAGCATCTGATGTAGTCTTTGTTGCCTTGCCATTGTGTACCATTGTTGTGAACTTTTGTTAGTGAAACTCTTGCCAGATCTCCCTGTGAGCAAGCAAGTAGTGCGAGCACAAACAAACGACTAAGGAACGAACGCATATATCACTCCTACCCCGTGCCTACCCCGTAGACCAGCTCCCGTTGCTAGAGTTATCTCCGCATTCTAGAGCTTGTGCAAAACAATTGTCCCCCAGAGGGATGGGCCTGCAACATGGCGACATCCCTTCCTCCCTTCCCCCCCTCCTCCCTCCCTCCTGCCTGTGTCATGCAACATGAATACTTGCCATACATTACCATTCCAATGAGGTCATACCACATCTTTCATCTGCATCTCTACACTACCATCTCCACCTCAACCATACCTTCCCTCCCTCCACCTAGGTATCGTATGACAGTGTGCGTACGTGAGTACTATGCATTCCCCACTACACCAATGCCAAGTTCCTGCTACACTATATCCCCACACTTTTCTCCGCCTCCCTTTTGGCCGCCTCCCCTTTGCCACCCCGACCAGGTTTCATGTGACATGGCACGTGAGTACCTATGCATGCACCACACTCCCACGTCGTCTATCCTCGAGCCACTCCTCGTCGTCCTCTTCTACAAGATCAGGGCTGCCACAGCTCGCATGTGAAGTGGGCTTAGAGCCACCTGCAATGGATGCCGGTTGTTGTTGTTCATTACCTGCCATGGCGAGGCGGATGTCGTCTCCAATGGAGTTAATTTGGCCATAGTTATTAGGTTGCATGTCAGGATGAGGAGACGATGCATTAGGACCTTTTCTTCCTACGCATGTTGCAATCATTCGTGAGCTAAATTTGAGACCAAATTGGGCTCCATGAGCTCAAAATAACGCCCCTAGCCGACTTCAACCCACCCCCGTCACCCTACTCCAAGAACTGCCGAACCGCTCCTCTACGAGGAATATCCTCGTAGAGAATAGCTCTTGACAGCATGCATACTACCAAGCTGCCATCATGCTGCCAGGAGCATACTGGCAGCAAAATGACACTGGCAGCATCCAAATATGCTGCCACCAAGGAATGAATGTTGCCAGCAAGCCAGTATTTTTGCTGAAATCACGTGGCACAATAATAGGCGGCACATGCACAACGCACCGACATCGCCGAAATTCAGTGAACCATGGGTGGTTACTACAACGTGTGTGCATGTTACATATTGGTTTGAAACGATGATCTATTATAACATTCAAAGGACACGCATAACCTTCCATTGACAAGATAGCATTAACTGTATTTGTCGCGTATGAGATAAGACTTATATGTCTCCTATTCGGGCGATGTAAGAAGCGCCTATACGACACTGGCTGGCAACCCCCCCGACATGGTGAAAGCTTTGTACCGACACATCTGCTACAACGCGCAAAGGGGGTGCTGATCTCGGTGAAGGAGACGCAGCGGCGGAGCTGTGAGTGGATGAAAAACATCACCCCGATAAGAGCTGGAACGCCTCCGCCCACTGGAGCCAGCAATTCTTCGATCGCTTGAACCCGGTGATGCGGGTGAAGACAAAGGTTGGTCAAAATTTGTCGGATGGTGAGTCCTTGACTACTTCTGCTGCTTGTTTCTTTGTCCGTTATGCTCTTTCCCGTCAAAATCTCAAAGCCACTGCCATATTCTTGCTCCTGCATTTACCTCTTTGGTGCTTCCCATCTGTGTTTGCATCCTTCTATGTTTCACTCTGCATTTCTTTCTGTGTATACTCCCTTGTGTGTCTCATTGGCAGAGTGTGCTCATGACTGTGAAGGCTTATGAAAATTTGTACGCATCAACAAGCACGCCCCAACATCGACCTTTTCGCACATCATCAATGCGGATCAAACTCCGCTGTTCATGGAGATGCTGGCGGAGAGGACCATAGACAACCGTGGCGCGCGGTCAGTACCCATCCGCACAGCTAGCTATGTGAAGCAAAGGCTCACTATCATGCCCGCATGCACATCTTCAAGAGAGAAGTTGTGCAAGTGGGTGTGGTTCAAGATGAAAAATGCTCTGAAGTGTGACATTCCCGAAGGTAAGTCACATGTTATCATCGTTGATTGCTTGATTGCTACCCTGTTTTGCCTTGATTGCTACCCTGTTTTGCCTTGATTGCTACCCTGTTTTTCCTTGATTGCTACCCTGTTTTGCCTTGATTGCTACCCTGTTTTGCCTTGATTGCTACCCGTTCTCATCGTTTTTTCCTTTGCCTGAAACTGCAGGTCTTGTTGTCCAAGCCCAGGACAACGCGAGGATGGATGAAGCGGCAATGAAGACGTGGCTGGACAAGGAGCTGTGTCGCTCAATGCTGGTGCTGGATTTGTACCGCGGGCACATCACTCAAGGGATGCTTTGAACATACCAAGCATACTACATCACCCTTGCCGTCATCCCCACTGGCTGCACCAGTCAGATTCACCCCTGAATGCCTCGATCAACCACTGCCTCAAAGCAGCGGTGCGCGCCCGCTACTCCAGGTGGTTCATGCAGCACGGCATCAACTTGTGGACACCAAGAGGTGAGTGATCATCGGAGCCTTGAGTTCTTCATGCTTTCATACCTACACTTACTCTGCAATTGAATCTGCCCATCCCCCAACAGGAAAATTGAACAGGCCTCCGCATCACGTGGTGCTGCAGTGGATTGCGGAGGCGTCGGAGCAAGTGCCACGTGAAGTTTTTGTCAAGGCATCCAAGACATGCAGGATCTCGAGCCACCTCGACGGGACTGAGAATCACGTGGTCATGTCTCATATGCACGCCAAGAGCACCACTAATGTATCAGAGGACACGTCTCTGTGAAGGAGCATGGATGATAACATGTGCCTGCTTGGGCAGGTTCTGGGGGAGGATCAGGAGGAGGGGGAGGAGCTGCAGGCCGAAGGTGTCAGCGAAGTCGGCGTGGCAACTGGGCTAGAATTGCTCGACCCGAAGACACCCTGTTACCGTGCTTCAGCAGAGGCTGAAGGCTTGGTGGAGCCGTCAAGGATGGCCAAGCATGCCTGGAATGTCCCAGACTTGGGAGTGCAGGAGCACTCTATTGCTATTGCAGATAAACACGACGAGGGCATGACAAAGGGGTACTAGGTAGAATTGGGAGGTGCCATTGTAGGACGTTGTACCATGTAAACCCATTATTACCGTTTAGAAGAACCCCTCTATTTAGAAGAAAACCCATGAACCCATTGACCATTTCTAAGGCATACATGTATTAACTCGTACGCACCCTTGCAGGGTCGAC